CTGTAACATTTTGAGTGCCTCCGAACACGAAATTTCATTGGCGATGCAAAATTTAAGACAAACTCTTTGTTCGATGTTTTTGTCCATTATGAAATTCGCAATACACACTAGATATTAGATATAAAACTAAAAACAGAACTGTTTTTAATATAAATAACAGATGCAACTCAAATTCCGCGCCAAAATGGAAAACAGTTATGCCAATCTAACAGCAACAAAAAAAATTAAAATTCGAATTTGGAACCATAAAAAAAACATTCATTCCCGATACTTTGTTGACTGAATGTATTATTATATCAGTCGTATAACTGTTTTATACTTACACTTAATGGAATGCTGATTCTCGTTACGTCACAAATACAATTCTATAGAATTACTTCATTCATTCGTTAGTTCATTCATTCAGCCTGTGCTATTGAATGAAGGTATTGACCATAGAATCTAAACTTATATTTTAAAGGCGAAAGTAACTCTCTCTGTCTGTCTGTATTTTCTTCACGCCTAAACTATTGGACCGAATTGTGTAAAATTGGTACAGAAATAATTTGGAACTCGAGTAAAGATATTGGATGGTATTTAAATCAAAAAATTGCAGATATCAATATTTCACGCGGCCGAAGTCGCGGGCAGAAGCTAGTACACTTACAATGGAAGGTCTTACTTTTTTTAGCAATAGTAAAAATTAGGTTCCTATATTTTTGAATTAAATAATTTCTACCTTATAAATACCAAGCCTGGTTAAAAATAATCTTAAAGATTTAGGAACTAAAATATATTTCTGCATTGGGATAAAATGGGATAAGTAGAACAGCGTAGTAGGCTGTGCGACATCGCCGCGTCCGCGCACGCTGCTCATGAGGAAGAACCCCTCTGTGGTTTGAAACTAGTAGAGCTTTTCTCAATTTATACACGTGAGTAACCCGCGATTTTTAAATTTATAGTTTAGTTAATTTACGCGTGATAGATTTGAAAAATTCTTTCAATGTTGGGGCGTTCTTTTTTGAGGGGCCATAAACATTGAATTTCTTTCTGCGCCCTGGATGAGACAAGAGGGAATATCAGACTCTTACTGACTAAAAGCCACCCTGTTCCTTCTTCTGTTTCAAACCACAGTACTGCGCACCCACAAAGCTACACCAAGAAAGAAAGAAAAACTTAAAATGTAAAACCCAAATATATGTGTGGAAGAGCCATGAACACGAATGCGTAGGCTCGACCGGAGTAACACCACGGCCTCACAGAAAACCGGCGTGAAACAAACACAGCGTTGTGTTTCGGCGTGTAAGTTAGGTTACCGGAGGCCCATCCCTCCCCCTCCCGTCTCCCTTCCCAATCCTTAAATATCCGCAACCCTTATCCCCAAAAAGCCGGCAACGCACCCGTAACTTCTTTGGTGTTGTAAGTGTCCATGGGCGGCGCCGATTGCTTACCATCAGGTAATCCGTCTGCTCGTTTTCCGACTTATTACATAAAAATAAACATTAAAATAACTCAGACTTTGAAACGGAATATATTATACATATAATTTTATGTTACTAATCAATATGTTATCGATAAAGTTATTTAAATGTAGGTATGACTAAATGAAAATTAATACATACATTTTAATTCTATTTACGGATAAAACTGTTTATTTATTTTATATTGATTTTACCTGTACTTAATTAAAATATATAAAATAATGATGATTAGTATGTTAGCTGTATGTCTTGTTGATCGAGTAAACACAAGGTCGCGGGTCCGATTCGCCAATTTTATTGTAGCTTGCTTCATTCCGAGGCTTTGCACGCGAATAAAAGTAATGTTGGTATCCCGGGATTTAAAAACAGCCGCATTCATCATTATCATCACCAGCCTATAAGTGTCCACTGCTGAGCAAAGTCCTCTTCTCACACGGATAAGGTTAGAGAATTAATAACCACACTTGCTCAAGGCGGATTAGCGATTTGAAAACTAATGATCACAAATTACAAGTCCAGTTTTTCTCACCAACTTTTCCTTCACTGTATGTCAGTGGTGTCTAATTAATCATAGAAAGTACATATTACTCGTAAAAAGTGACATTGGTACTTGCCTAGTTTTGAACACCCTCATGCATGAGAAGCGGGCGCCTTAACCTCCGGGCCACCATGACCTATATTATATAAATAAGTTACTATAAGCCTACTATTTTTTGCAATTACCACACCATCACTCTTCTTCAGCTCTATTGCTTTTATCTCTTAAAGTACGTACCTGAAATGCATACTGTAAATAACAAATCTTAACTCCATTAATTATTTAAGATGATGAAACAGTTAATTTGGAAAATGATTAACATTCAGTCATTTAAATAAACACTTAAACATTAAACTTAAACATAAAAAAATATTTAAGCATCGGAGCTTCTAAAATAGACCTATAAAAGTATAGATGTATATAATATTATCGAGGACTTTTTTGTAGAATTCATTGAGGTCTATAAGTTTACAAAAAATTGTTATCATTTATTTGAAAGTATTTGGGCAGAGTACGTCAAGAAAGCTGTTCTAACTCTAAGTGTTGATATTTTTTCTGACTTGCATGACTATAAAAGCGATAGCTCGACTGAAATACGCAAATCAAGTATAATTTATAGCCTATAGTACTCTGGAACATTGTAGCTATCAATTAGTATCAGTGAATGAATTTTGAAAATCCGATTAGCGGTTCCAGAGATTACCCCCTACATACAAACCCACAAATTACAAATTTTACTTCTTTATAATATTAGTATAGATGACATAAATGTAGAGTTAAGATTTGTTATGGCTGATTTAATTAACATTTTTTATTCAGTTTCTTTCACTTAATATCTGTCAACAGCATCTTATTCAGGTAACGAAGAGACAGGGGACAGCTTTTAAGATTTAAGCACATTATGGGCATATAAAGGCAGAAAGAGACAGAAAGCGATTATGTAGTGAACTATCACTACATAGTCGCATCGTCTAAATTATTCAATACATCACATACAACAATATCTAGTGATATTGTCGTATGTAAGAATGTAGAGCACTGTTTACCCTTGCGATGAGAAATAGGCGTGAAGTTATGAGTCATCACTATCATCATCATCAGTCTGTCTACATCCAATGACACGTCACTTAGCTTCATCTTCAGCTCTACGCATCCAACTTATGCCAACCACCTTAGGGAGAGCGCCCTACACTACGTTTGCCGAGACGCGGTCGCCACTCTAGAGCACGTCTCTACCCCAAAGGTTCTTCGACAAATCCGACCTGCCCACTGGCACTTCAGTTTGCTTTTGCTAATCCTTTTGTTCTCTGTCCCATCAACCTCTATGTAAATGTAATTTTTATATGAAACATTGTTAGGGAAGGGATCAATCACTTAAAGGCCTGGCAATCTTCGTTCCGCCTCAAAATTAACTTAAGTCTCTGACTTATAAACCTTCCCTGGACTTCCACGAATAATTCAAGACCAAAATTAGCCAAATCGGTAAAGGCAATATTGAGTTATAACATTACAACGAAATATAATGCTTTTTATATTATACATACACCTAGATTAGACATAGAAACATTATCGATTGAGGGAATAATACACAAAGGTAGATAGTTACCATATTACAAAGGCCTAACACCTAACAGCCTTTATGCAGAAGAAAATGCGCGTATTTTAATTCCAATATTCAAACATACCTAATTCTGTAATATCGAATGCACTAACGTCGTGACTCAATTGCCTTTAAAAAGTAAATAAAAACATACAAATAGGTATACCTACGACACAATACCAACCAGAAAGAAATAAAAGATAAAAGAAACCAGCAGAAACAAGTGTTCTCTTTCTTTTAAATCAAAGGAGGTTTGTAATGTCAAAAACAAACAATTATGGCTATTAAAAAAGGTTTTAAATTGCAAGCGGTCAGCTAGTTTTAAAAATAAATCGCAAACAGCGTCCGCCTCGTTCGCGTTCCACATTCGAAATAATAATTGTATTAAGGAAACATGAGCGGCGCGCATGTGTTTGTTTGTTTGTTTACCCGCCGGTGACGTCATATGTTTATTCTCGCGGGGAGGTTGGGGGCATACGGACGTGTGTAGTTTTATTTAATTTTTTTAAGTTCTTTGTTTTTTGTGATTATTGTAGATGTGGTGTGGTGTGATATTTTAGTGTTGAACATTTTTTGGAGCATTTTGAGGAACAGTTATCCTAGGTAAATAGAATATTGATCAATATTTTTTATACACTTTCTTAATGATTAAGTTTTCAGTAAAGGTGTGTAACTTACCGATATTTGTTACTCGGAAACTTTGGCGCCCAAACTGCTTTCCATGAAAGCAGTAGAATGAAAATGTAGATAAGACACTGTGGGCAAAGACGTTTAACAAAAGCCATTCCTAGACATCAATAATTTTCTTGAAACTACAACCTTAAGTAGGTTCCACATTATGGAATAAGTTTTATATCGTCGTTCTTTCGTTATGAATAAGAAGTTCAAAAGGCACTTCTTGAAAATCATTTCAATTTTCAGAAATATGCATAATAAACAACATTTTCATGAATTTCATTTTTAGTAACTACTGAAGTATAAGTACGTATGTCAGTCTGTAATTAAAATGTGTCTGTGTCCTCTTCGTATGTACCTAAACACAAGCGTGTTTTTAATAAAAACTTAGCTTAGGTAATTTATGTATTCTTATTGGACCATACTGTGTCTTTAGAATGATTAACATTCATATTAACTGTTATTATTCTTGATACTTAAGTACAATCACTTGAAAAATAAGACTATAATTAAGGTCATTGAAAAAAAAAACCAGTGCGAACTGAATAAGAAAGATTGAATCTTTGACTGATACCGTGCGTAGGATAAGACGAAATAATAATTTAGACATATCGCAAAATATTATTAATGAGCAGAGTCGGTGGCTGCCGGCGAGGATGTCATTGAAGCCGCGCTGCCCCTTGTTTACACACGCACACAGCGGCGCGCACGCACACTCGGCCGCGCCCGTCGCCCGCTTATTTAGGTATATTGTTGTTTATTTTATTCGGCGCTATGCTCCGACACGGGCCGAGCCTTCGACTCAGTTTTAACGCGCACGTTTTATGAAACGACAACTATGCGTCGATGTTCGCTCGCCGGCGATAATAATTATTCATATCGGAACCGTCTCTAGCGACCGAAATAGCGACGCGGTAAACAAATTCGCGATTTTATTGGCAGGTCCTCATTGTAACGAGGAGTTTTTTTCTGCAATATTTACATTTAATTTATTTTTCATAACCTATTCGCACGCCGCCGGTGCCTCGGTTGTCTCCGCGAATCTTAATGGTAGTTAATCATAGTTTATTTTTACCGCGCAACGTGTGTTCATAAGTGGGGCCACTTGTCGCCGTTTCTTTTATTTCGCCATAGTGTTTGATTAAAACTCGCAATTGAATTGCGGAAGCGATCGCGGCCGTGAAAATAATGTTCGCGAATTTGCAGCGCTCTACGAAAACAGTCGGCATGAAGACCCAATTATAAAGATAACAAGATATGGATTTGATTAACTACTTCGACGTATTATGATCGATGTAGATGTCCTGTTTTGACAGTTTTGAATTTATATGTGTTCGCCGCGCTTTCGGAAGTTTCGATAATTTGAATGAACTTTTGGCGGGAAGTCGAAGTGCTAACGAAGAAGTAGGCTGCACAGAAAGTTTGGAAAAGTGTTGAGTACACATCGGATACTGGCGAGTGTTTTTTCAACGCGTTTTCGAGGCTAAGCGCTAGTTGTTTGAACAAGTGTGTTTTCTAATGGATTTATTTTGAGGTGAGTTTAAATTTACTTGTGTGTTGGTGTTTGTATTGTTTGCTCTTCGTGTTTTGTGTGCGTGTTCGCGCCGGTGGCGGGAAACCAAATACCTAGCCGGTTCTGTGCATGTGTGAGTGTACAAACAATACGCATGTGTGCGTGCGCGACTTATTGTCACTTTGTGTAAGAGGGGAGACAGGGAGGGAGAGGTTACTTGTCATGTATTTAGGCGAAGACGAACTTTGATGAGTTGACTTTTTAATTTATGTGCACCTTTTATGGCGATAGGAAAAAATGTTGAGACAAGAGCCGTCATTATATTATATTTGCTCACGTATTGAACGTCTCCACATTTATTTAGGTATATTGAATATTGATTTTTGTCATCACACTACCAAAAGTTTTATGCAAACGCTAAATGTAATTAAACCTTATTTATTATCTTTAGGAGCGTTGTCCTCTATGAAAATGTTGTGGCCTCCTTATTGCTATTTCAAATATGGAATTACAAATAAGAATACAATACATAATTCTTCATAGATTTTCCTTATCTCTTTATGCTTATAGATACGTAATAAATATCCTGACGAAAATGATAAGTAATGATATAGTAAATAATAAATAAATATTCATAAAAATAAATGCTTACTTAATTTAAATAATTATCTATCTTACTTAGGTATTTGTTCACCGTTAAACTTATTTCAAAGCTAAGAAATAAATAAATGGAAAATTAACTAAGTAACTAACTGAATAGGAATAGATAATGGATGATTAAATCCATCAAATAGTAGATAATAATATAAATATGCAGATTTATTACAATTAATATTGATGAACCGTGGTTTAAATCGGTTAGGAATTAAGTATTGATAAACGCTCAATGCAATTCATTGTATAGGTAAAAATAATTTTAGAATATTTTACGAAATTACTGTGACACTGTTAACTTGTTTATCAAAGTTTTCGTGTTAGAACAGTTTGTCCCGTATCTGTTTTTGGATTAGCATCAAAACAGACCTTCTATCGCGTTTTTATAAGTATACTAGCTACCCTCGCGGGGTTTCACCCGCTGCTCGGCTCCATTATATCGTAGCGTGAAGTTTTATAGCCTATAGCTCTCAGGAACATTGTAGCTATCTAGCAGTGAAAGGTTTTTGGCAATCCGACCAGCGGTTCCAAAGATTACCCCCCTACATACAAACTTACAACCATACAAACTTACACCTCTTTATAATATATGTATAGATAGTATAGATTATAACTGTTTTTTTTTAATTTTATTTTTATACTTAAGTTAACGAAGTAGATTTCTTAGTAATTTAGTTTTATACTAAGCACTAACGCTTCGCACGGGTCCAACTATGTAGGTACCTATTCGGCTAAAGAAGAAAATGGCTGTTATTACTAATTTCTACCTCGACTTTTCTAGAAATTAATTTAAAAATACTTAATCTGTTACTTACAATAATAAACACTACAAAAGAATTAATAGATACAATTGGTCAGGAGGGCCTTGTTAGGTTTTGCCCTTACCAACAGATTTTGCGTTTCATTTAGGTACGTACATGTACAATATAACTACATTATTTAAAAAAAGAAACTATGGACAAGTTTCCCATTCTAGGTACCCTTAAGTGTATACCTAAGTAAATTATTAATTATTTAGTCATTAATAACATTTCAACAATTATCTATTTCTTTCCCCTTTCTCTGTAATAAGTAAAATAAATATTAACAAAAAATCTCACACGAATAAAAACTCCATGTATCACGGTTTATCAAGGACATTAAATTTTTTTTCTTAAAAAATGTAGTCAACATACTCGTCACGAGGACTGGGAAAGGCAAATAAGGGGGTTCAAAATTTAAAAACAAGGGTTCGAAAGCAAACCCTTACGTTGGAGACCTTTTTTCTTTTATTTTAAATTTGGAACTGTATTTTGAACTGGGTGTAAATGTTCTATGGATTGAATCGTGCTAATGTACCTAGCTAATTATATTTAGTAAAATTTTGTTAAAGTTAGACAATAGGCTTTCAGGCATTTGTGGAAGGGTTTTAATTTTGTTAGTTAGTTAGTAGTAGGGTTAGTATTTCCTTATACTTGGTCAACAATAAGTTGAATTTATGATGATGATGTTAATTTTACGATGTACGTAATTGATTTCTTTTTAGCATTTTTAAAGAATAGGTACTTTTGGACGCATACAAACATGTTGTCACAATGCTTACATAATCTAGGCTCTAAAGCTCATACAAATGACGCTTTTGACAATTCGAATTGAATTGAATTTGGTTTTAACAAGAATGTAATTGAGCATATTAATGGTATTATAATATGGTTGATGAATGGTTAGTAAAATACGAATATATTTTACATAACCCTTGTCAGAGAAACTGGAGCCCTAATCCTTCCCTTTACCAATCTACTTCTACTAGTTCCTAATCCCCAAAAGTTCGACAATGCACTCGTAACTCCATTGCTTACCATTCCGAGACGGTAATTCGCTTGCTCGTCCGCCGCACTACCGAATTAAAAAAAAGAAAAGAAAACGTCATTTATTTAAATGTAAAATAATAAAAAAATAACCTATTCTTACTCGTGCCGAATTTACCAAGAAAAGTTTCTAAATGCGTGAAAGAGACAAGTTTTCTTTTCTGAATATAGGCTTGGTGAAATTTAATTTTGTAACACTATCTTTAAGATATTAGGTAATTAAATTAGCATATACCTAGGCACTATGTAGATATGTGCGTATATACTGAATTTGTATTTGGGTAACAATGGCTGCTGTTTTATAGACAACATCATGAAAAAAAGAGGTTTTAAATTCGATTATATTTACTGCGTAAGTATTTTATTGAACCCAATTTGATTTGGCGCCTAAAAGAGAATTTTTCAGATTCATTCCTCAATATCTCGAAAATTCTGTTTTTAAAAATAAACAAAAATTCTATAACATGAAGGTTAGGATGAAGGATGCCGATAGAAGGTTCTTAATTTAAAAATTACATTATATAAAAACTATATTTAAGTTGAATTAGGGCCGATTTTTCTATAGCCAGATAAATGTTATCTGAGGAATGAAATTGTTGCTGTCACTGTCTTATACAAGCATTCTGACGCAACAACATCACAATTATTCCCTAGGTAATTTTTATCTAACCATTGAAAAATCAGCCTTAACACTAAGAGTAGAGGGGTGATTCTTCACATCAATTAAAAAAAAATTAATAATGTCATTATCCTCATCCGAAAATTAACGAGTCTGCTGATTAAAACACAGATAATTATTTTATTAAATTAAATCTCACCACTGCTTACAAGCAACCGATTAAAAATATTGTATAAAATAAATTACTAAGATGCTTAAAACCTGGGAGGATAATGACTTGTTAAATAAAAGTTAAGGTTTTTTGGAGAATCACCCAGAGCTTAAGAATAGACAGCTTTTATTACGTACCTATATACACACAAGTTCAGAAACTTTTATGTATATCATAGTACCTAATTGCTCAACATTCAGTGCTGTTTTCTTTATCGATTTTTTCTAAATCATTGTGTAATACGTATGTAAGAAAGAATAAAATATAATTCATATCCATCTAGAGATCAATGTATGATTCACTATACATACATATATAGGTACAATGTAAGTGCTTATCAGATAAAAAAGGTTTATTAATAAAACTGTTTACTGTTAGTTTGCGACCCCTGCTTCGTACGGGTATCTCAAATTAAATCAAATCAAATTCTTTATTTCAAGTAGACCATAACAGGCACTTTTGAACGTCGATCTAATATGTTTTTTTTTTCTTTTTTACTTGCAATAAACTAGTGCTTGACTGTGATCCCACCTGACGGTAAGCAGTGATGCAATCGTTGATGGTAAGGCGCACTAGTTTATTACGAGCCTATTCACTCTAGCCTTGAAGACACCTAAATTGTATTCGGACGGAAAGACTGCAGCCGGCAAACTGTGAGAGATGATCTCCGGCCACCGTAAGCGCGGGTCTGCGGACGACGAGCAAGGGTAGCTCGCCACCAGACCAGAACCAGACCCGAGCGTACGGCGCGTAGCGTTCCGCGCGCGCCTCGAAGAGCCAATAGACTACCACAGACGGGGCCCTATAGGGCTGATGTCCAGCCGGGGTTGCGGGGTAAGCGCAATGAGGCACCGCGACCTCGGCCTAGAGCAGGAGTAGGAACAGGGGGGCTCTTAGTCAGTAAGAGTCTGACACTCCCTCCCGCCTGACCCTGGGCGGGAGAAGTCATTTGATGATTTTCCCCTCACAAAAAACAAAAAAAAAGCCGGCAAACTGTGGTTGTGTTGTTGTATGGTGGTGATGTTATTCCTCGAGGCTTTGTAGACAAAATGAAAATAGGGATTGGTCGTTCTTGAATGAAAAATGATTCATTTTAAAAGTAGTATTGATTAAAAAAAATGTTGCCCTACATTAGGATTTTCTCCTGTGTCGTGAATGCTTTTACAAACATACAAATTCACATTCAAAAGCCATCCAGATCCGAAACAAAAATTTGTGGATCATATAAATTGTTGTTCCGTGTAGGAATAGAACTCGCGACACGCTGCACAGCAGCCAGTTGCCCAGCCACCGCGCCAACTGTGCAGTTATAAGTACTTAGTGGTGCCAGACAGGTCCTATCGTTGGTACCAATAAAGATATAACCACATGGTCATATCCTCTTTGGTTGGTACTTATCTGTTGAAATTGTAGACCACCTCTGTACACTGTTAATAGATTCATTGAAGACATTTGATTTGATTTGATTCATTTTTAAATATAGAAGATATAATAGATATCAATGACTGAAATTAAAGGAACATTATTATCTTCTTTGGATATGGTTAAGAAAAATCTCACAACGGATCCAATTTAGTAGGGCGATAAAGGTAGTTGTCAAAGGTGGATGGCAGCTTGTAAACATAAACACTATCCCATACCTTTTACTTAGTCCCAATGGCACAGGCAGAATACACACAACAAATGTCAA